AAAGAAAGAAACAAAGAAAGAAACAAAGAAAGAAACAAAGAAAGAAACAAAGAAAGAAACAAAGAAAGAAAAATAGGGAATCTGGCCTCATGGCTACAAGGAGACCTATATGGAAATGCAGAACTGGACAGACCTTCAAGACAAGTTATTAATCTAAGATGCAAACAGCCAATATTTACAGAACCCTTACAAGGTGTTGGACAATGTCTAGCAATGTTACATAACACGTCTCTTTTTACCTCCCAGGATTTCCACAGGTTGACACTACTATGTCCATTTTGCAGATTAAGAAACTGAGGCACAAACGGTGGCTCATCTCATACTGTGTAACGTTAAGCCCCAGGTGGGGATAAATTATAGGGTTTGACAAGGTTCCGGTCCTCTTAACTGAAGTTTCTGTTTCCCACGAGCAAAGGCTGAGGCTCCAGGCTCCTGTGCGGGCTGTGCGGGTGCCCAAGTGGCAGAGCAAGCAGCAGGAAGACTGAGTTTGAGATGTGCCTGTGAAGCCTCTGCCAGAACAGCAGGCCAGTTGCGGCTGATCTCTGAGAACAGTCCAGAAAAATCCAAATCATCTACAACATTTCCAACCTGTGCAGGTGGAAGATTGGCATGTTCTGCTCCCACGGTAAACACGACACCACTGGTATGTGCTGTGCGTGTGGGCAGAGATCGACGTGGGAGCTCGGGGGACCTGGGTTAAGGACTGGCAGTGCTGGCTGAGTCAGTGCTGCGGAACTTTCTGGCACAACTGCAGCTAACGTCAGAGGGGGCTAGAGAGGCAGGACCCTGACACCCTGGCCTCTGCTGCATCTCTCCCTTGTCAGCATTCATCTCTCACCCACTAGCCTCGTACTCACCCAGCATCAGCCCACCTATCCAACCCACATACCGGTGACTCAGAGGAGGCTGTGTCCCCTCTAAATTCATCACAGTCATCCACTTTGGTGACAGACTCCATGTTTGAACAGCTCAGTACATGGCATATCCCTGGAGAATGCCAGTCATCCTGGGTGACTCAAGCTAGCCCCGTCAGACTGACTAGGAAAGCACTCAATGTCTCACCACCGCTGATATGGTCTCTCCCTCTCTCTCCTGGATGCGAGCAAAAGAGAGCCCACTTCACACTGGCATCTATCTGGAGACAGTGAGGAGAAGCAGATAGAGGGCAGAGCTGCCTCTGCACCCCCAAAGAAATGCTCAACAGGCACCAAAGAATGAGGTACCCTTCTGGAGCACGAATAATATGAAATAAAACAGGAACCAAGCGGCTGGTGGGAACTGGGGGGAAGCAAACACCATGGAAAGCTATCCCTACCACCTATGCTGGAGAAATGGCCAAGCAGGTTGGGAAGGGGCTTCAAACGGAAGGACCCCGTAATCCTTTCAGCTTCCAAACACTTGGGGAAAGTCACCTGCATGTTCAAATGTTTCAGTAGGATTCTCTGACTGCATCACCTCCAAGTCTATCAGTTGAGCGGGGAGCAGTAGGAATCAGGGAGTGAGAGCCTATGGCAACATAAAAGACACACAGCTCTCGTCTCCAAGGAGCTAAGAGTTTATCCTGGAGCGTTTAGGTCACCCCAAAGTCCACATTCCAACATGACAACAGTTTTAGGAATTATTAGCAGTAACAGAACAAAGAAAGTAGATAAATCAACACACTTAAAATATATTCTTGGAGGGGCTGGAGAGATGGCTTAGCAGTGAAGAGCATTGGCTGCTCTTCCGGAGGAACTAGGTTCAATTCCTGGCACCTACAAGAGGCCCACAAGCTTCTGTAACTGCAGTCCCTAGTGATCTGGTACCCTCTTCTGGCCTCCACAGATACCAGGTATAAAATAAGACACCAACATAAAGGAAATAAACAAAAGTTTTTAAGTTAGCCAGTGGCTTAAAACATATGCACCTGGGGCTAGAGAGATGGCTCAGAGGTTAAGAGCACTGGCTACTCCTCCAGAGGTTCTGAGTTCAATTCCCAGCACCCTCATGGTGGCTCACAATCATCTGTAATTAGATTTTGGTGCCCTCTTCTGGTGTGTACACAAACAGGCCAGAACACTGTAATAAGAAAGAGAGAGAGAGAGAGAGAGAGAGAGAGAGAGAGAGAGAAAGAGGGGCTGGAGAGATGGCTCAGAGGTTAAGAGCATCGCCTGCTCTTCCAAAGGTCCTGAGTTCAATTCCCAGCAACCACATGGTGGCTCACAACCATCTGAAATGATGTCTGGTGCCCTCTTCTGGCCTGCAGGCAGAATACTGTATACATAATAAATAAATTAAATAAATAAATACTTTAAAAGAAAGAAAGAAGATTTAAAAATAAAGAAATATACATTCGTGGAAGCGCCAGGTGAGTTAGAACATCAGAGCCAGGTAAGAACCTCTGATGTTGTCTGTGACATCCTGAACTTGTGGCTTGTGGAAGCCAGTATATCCTAAAAGGGCTCACGTCATAGTCACAGGAGCTAGGTTACACAGAGGACGGGCAATAAACAGCTATGGGGGATGGTTAAGGATAGCACAGGATATTTGACTTGGAATATGCACCATTCCATCCTCTCCACAATCACGAAGTTTTGATCTGTCCATCAGCCTATAATGTTCGATGTAGATGTTTTGTTGTTGTTGTTGTTTTCTGGGAATTTTACTTCACATCTATTCCAACTGGAACAGGAGAGTAATTTATTGATGTCCTGCGTTGTGATCCCTTGATCACCTCTCGGGTCACTCTAGGCAAACAGCTGCACGCTCCTGGGCCCCTAAGACATCTGCTCCATTCCCGAGCTGGGTAGCCAGGGAAGGCTAGGCTCAGCACCTACAGCCGCGTGCCCAGGGAGGAGCAGGGGGTAGGGTCTCCATTCCCAGAGTGATGCAGGGTGGCTATTCAGAATCCTCAGTAAGAACACCGCCGTGTCACCCTAGTCTACCTTCTGGCTGGCTTCTTTCCCCGGCATCTACAGGGGTCACCTCCATCGGCAGCTGTGTCTCCTAACAGAGGTTACCATAAGTCCCAATCCCCAAGCTCTTTCAGAACCTTACTGTTCCCTTCCCTTGGGCCTGGGAAGGCTTGTATCAGCTTCCCGAAAAGATGAGGTAGGGAAAAGCCTCTACCGCATCCTGGCTGACTTGGAATAGCCCAGCCTCTCATGGGACACTCACTGCTGGATACCACGCGCCAAACTAGGAGGAAGCACAAGTCACAGAAGAGGGGATGTGCAACTATTCGGGTTGACATCCCACGACAGCTCCTGCCGGACGCTTGCTGTGTAGAGGGGTGACCAGATTTTCGTTTCTTTTCCTCGCTCCCCCCACCCCTAACCCCCAGCGGACCTACTTTGGGGAGGTCCTTCAGTAACCACACCTACTTCTACTTCCGGGATATACTTTGAGGATTTGCGACACGTGGAACTTCATAGCAGAACCACACAGAATCAGCGCAACTCCAGAAGGTGCTGTGCCTAGTTCTTGTCGCTGAGCCCAGGGGAGCCCGCGGGGTAATTTAGAGTGATCCGTGGAGCAGAGCTGCCCAGATTTGGGCCTCAGCTCGCCCACTCATTAGCTCCAAACCGTGGGGGGGGGTCGTGACATAACTTCTCTGTGCCTCAGTTTCCTCCTCTGTAAAATGGGATCTAACATAGTCCCCAGCAGGCAGGGTCGCTCGGAAATATGAATAAGGTCACCACACTCCTGCTTTACCATGTGGGGGCTACAGTTCCGAGGTCCCACTGAGAGCCAACTCATCCTTGTTGGGTAGGTCCGACCGCCCGCGTCCTCGCCTCTCCGGGCCTGAGTCACCGCTCTGTGCGTCACGGGCGACTTTGCTCTGCGACTTGCAGACTCACCCTGAGTCAGCGGCCGGGCGCGTCCACTGCGGGCATCGCGAGGGGGTGGCGGGGCGCCGCAGCAGGCATTCGGCAGCTGGGTCGACGTGGGACACCGGGCCTCCTCTCGGGCGGCGCGGAGGCGGATACGCGCACTTTCGGGCCGAGCCACTCGGACCGGGCGCAGTCGTCCCCCGCGGCCTCACGATGGTACAGTCCTGCTGGGTACGGCGAGCGGGCGGCGCAGGCGGCCAACTAGGCGGTATGGGGCTGCGCGCGGGTGGAGCGCTCCGCAGAATGGGCACCGGTACGGAGGCACCTGAGGGACGGGAACCTGGCGGCGCGCAGGGAGGCAGCATCCACTCGGGCTGCATCGCCGCGGTGCACAACGTGCCAATCAGCGTGCTCATCCGGCCGCTGCCATCCGTGCTGGACCCGGCCAAGGTGCAGAGTCTCGTGGACACGATCCTGGTGAGCCCGCGGAGCCTCCGGGCCTGCGCTAGGAAGAGAGGGCACGAGGGTCGGGATTCAGGACCTGCGGGAGCTCGGCTTCGCCCGTGTGACCTTGACGGGCTGACTGAGCCTCCCTGGGCCTCAGGTTCCTCACTTGAACTTGGCCATGAAAGTAATGACCCAGTGACGCACGTACCCAAAGTGCTGCGATCACCCGGAAGCTGATTTCAGCTTCTCGGATCAGGTCTGTGAAGTAGCTGCCGTTCCTCCTGTACCGAGGAGAAACTGAGGCACAGGAAGCTTGGGTTTTCTTGTTTTGTTTTTAAGCAACTTGCCCTAGGTCAAGCCCTTACAAGAGGATACAATGAGACTTTACACCCAGACAACCTGCATATCCTGATGTCTCTTCTGGCCACGACAGTCATGGCCGTGACCTGGGTGTGTCATGTTCGGGCATCTGGGCTCTTAATCTAAACTAGTTCATATCTGTAGCTTCCGTAGCTTCCCAAGTGGTTTTGTACCCCTTGTCACTTCAGAGAGACCCGTGGCCTCCTTGCTGGCTTGTCATCTGTGAGACTATCATCATAGCGTTTGTGACTCCATTATTCACTTCCTCCTTCAATCTGTTCCTGGGACAGAAACCCTCTCAGGGTGAGACTGTCCTTGCCTCTTGGCTGTGCTGTGTCCCCCAAGTGTGGACAAGTGGGGACAGGGTATATTGTTCACGTGGATAGAGATAAATGCTCAGCACCTAGTGTTTGGGGGAAGCCCCTCACTTACAGCATCTGCCATTGCTCTGCTGGAAATACTCTTGAGGCAGATTTCCAAGCTGCCAAGGCGCCACCCACCAGCTTGCAGAACCCCTAGGTGGCGGAGAGCCTGCTGCTCCTGCCAGTATGAGCCCTCTCTGTAGGAGCTCCGCTTGGCTTAACAAAACGTTTTTGCCAGTTCTCAAGCATAGTGCCATGCTCGCTCACCCTGTGACCTTTTTCTCTAGGAGGACCCTGACAGCGTGCCCCCCATCGATGTCCTCTGGATCAAAGGGGCCCAGGGAGGTGACTACTACTACTCCTTCGGGGGCTGCCACCGCTATGCAGCCTACCAACAGCTACAGAGAGAGACCATTCCCGCCAAGCTGGTGCAGTCCACCCTTTCAGACCTGAGGGTGTACCTGGGCGCATCCACACCAGACTTGCAGTAGAAACCTCCTGATCACCCCACCCCTTACACACCAGCACCACCTTCCAGAGCCCAGAAGACCTGCATGGCCCCTTGCGGGCTGAAGCTGTAGCGGGGATATGTTCTCTTTATACCTAAGGAAGGAGGTCTGCCACTTGGTGCCTCTGCACTAGCCCCCAGGCCTGGGAATGAAAGTGGCCAGCTCCCCTGTCTGTGAAGAGATATCATATCATGGCCTTGGCCCTGAAGGAGCTGGTTGTGGAGGCAGGACTCCCTCTGTCTTTATCTTTCTGATAGCTTATCACTACATGATCTAGTACACTGGTACCTGGTAGTAGAGGAAAACCTTGATCACGATGGCTGATGTGAGACAGGCTTGTTTTCCTGTAACCTGAGTCCTGGAACAGGTGACTCACACAGAATTGTGTCAGCAGTTCGGTGAAGGTGGGGTCTCCTCTAGATAGTCCTTTAACCTGGCCCTCATTGCTCCTTACGTTGTGGTCACAAGATGGCTACCACCTCTCTAGGAATCATGTCTTTGCTCAAGGAAGAAAGTCACTGGACCAACTTCTGTCAGAAAGAAAAACTTCTTTCAGAGTATCTGCCGTTTCCATGGCCAGAGCTAGGCACCAGTGCCACCCACAGTTGCAGAAGGAACGCTGTCACAGGTGGGCATGGCTGCCTTGTTCATCCCTTAGAACTGACACTGTGCTTCCTGCAATCAAATTGGGGTCCCACTAGCAGGAGAGGAAGAAGTATCAGCCCTTGCTATGGAACAAGCCATTCCCAAACTTAGCAGTATTACCCATGATTCTGTGGGTGAGCACTCGGGACTAGACTCCTTTGGGCTGCTCTGTTGATAATGGTCCGATCCTGCTCAAGAGCCCACTGTCAGCTGTCACTCATCTGGGGCTGGCTGGGCTGGGATCACCTTCTTCATTCTTGTGGCATGTGTTGGCTGGATTGGCTTGGCCATCCTTGTTCCCTCTCTAGCAGCTTAGCTCAAGTATATTCTCAAGATGGCCTCAGAGTCCCAAGAATGAGAGTAATAGGGACAAGACAGGCAGTGGAGCGGTGGCTCGCTGCTAAGAGTACCTGCATGGTGACTCAAGACTGTATCCCAGTTCCAGATGACCTGGCACCCTCTCTGACCTCTGTGGGCACCAGACACATGGAACACAGACATACATGTGCAAGCAAAGGACACACATGCGAAGGTCTTTTTGTTTTGTTTTGTTTTGTTATTGTTTTGTTATTTTAAGGTGACAAGATTTCTTTGACCCTTATGCCAGGACGATGTCACTGCTGCTAAGTTCACTTCTCAGATTCAAGGGGCGCAAACGGACCCCAGCTGTCAACGGGAGGAACTATAAAGAACACGGGGCTATTGCACAGATGAATCTTGGGCAAGTGACAGTGTTTCTTGCTCCCACCCATAAACCCTCCTCACACAAAGGACCGTGCCATGTCTTAGCCTTTAAGTTACTGTACTGTTCTTGGGACCTAGAAGAAGTTATGGCATGGTGTCTCCAAGAGCTGGGTACCCCACCCTCAAGGATGACTCACTAGTGGGATGGGGCATTCCAGGGGGGTTCTGTAAACAGAGAGTCCTGGAGGCTGAGGAAAGGTAGAGGAAGCAGCAGAGCAAGGTGGCACTTGCTGCCCAGAGTCTAGTCACTTGTCACTCTCAGTTTTCCCAACTCAGTAGCCAGGACAACAGCTTTCCCGCCCACCGAGTATCCCAGTCAATGAAACTGAAAGGGATAAAATGCAACATGGTGCTTGGATCGGATCTTGAGACCAAAAAGGGATGGGGGAGCATTAGTGGGTCAAGCAGGAACTTACTCGGTCTGGGTTTTAGTTATCCTCCTGTTTGGGCAGCAGACTGCTGGCGGGGGGTAGGAAGGGGGGTAATGGCTGTGTGAAAAAAAATGTATGGGAACTCTTTAGTCTCTGCAACTTTTCTGTAAATCTAAAGTCATTCCAAAATAAAAGTTTATTTAATTAAAAAAACACACACAATAATGTAATGGCTTTAGCCCAGCATTTTTGGTTTTGTTTGATAGACCTTGCCCCTGGAACTTCAGGTGTAGGGCCCGGGAACATGCATTTCTAAATAGTTGGGAACCCAGGAACACATATTTCTAGAGGATTCTCAGGAGCAGCTACTACTAAGGGAACAGCCAGGACTCTGTAACTGGATGATGCAGCTTGCTTCTTGGGCTGTGTTCAAGATACTTGGGCTCTGGAGCAGCTTGAGCAGGTACTTCCCACCCCTGGCAGGAGGGCAGCGTGTATGTGATTTCCCAAGCAGTCAGAGGGGCTCTGCAGCCCTAACTTCATGAGCAGAGTCAGGATGGCAGAGGATGGTCTTGCAGAGTGCTGTCCTGAAGTGACACTATCTCCAGGGAAGAAACCCTTGGGCATCTGCTGGACTGAGGTGTCTGAGTCAGAACCTCAGATCCTGACTCCGTTCGGAAGAACCCAACTCAGGTCCAAGAGGAACAAGGGGACAGGGTGGAGACTCAGGTCATTTAAGAAAAAGCAGCTGGAAGCCAAGCATGGCCCATGCCTGTGATCCCTGTGCAGATGACAAGTTCAGCATCAAGACCCTCGTGGGCCGCATAGTGAGTTCCAGGCCGCCCTGAACATTGTCGTAAAATCCTGCCTCTACATAACAATAGAAAGGGGGTAAGGGTAGGGGTTGTCGCTTGTCTGTAGAGCGCTTGGCTGATATACTGGTTCCGTCAGAGAAAGGCGGGTCGGAGAGGACGACTCAGGCTGTCAGTTGGTACTGAGCTGCATTTCCCTCCTGCACCAGCAAGTGGCGCTGCTTTCCCGTCCCTAGACTAGGGCTGCGTCTTGGGGAAGGCACTGGGTGGGAGGGTATGGTTGAGGGAGGGATTGTTGCGACTGAATGACTTCTGGGTCCGGCCCTCAGGTGCAGCTCATCCTGACTGCCCTGTACTTGTACCTTAGGGGTGCTGGGTTCCTCTACGGAGGGGCACCCCTCCAAGCTGGGCCATGAACCTCTTCTGGATTCTCACAGTATCACGTGTCCCTTGCCCTGCCCTCAAAAAAGGTAAGGCCCTGCAACCAAGCCCTCCATGGTAGATTTAGATTTTCTCAGTTTTACTAATAATAGACATTAATTAATGGGTGCCTGCCTGTAATCCCAGCATCTCCAAGGATGAGATCAGAATAGTCCAAGTTTAGGGTAAGCCTGGGCTACTTTATGAAACTCCCCAAAATGCCTTAAAGATACTAAGAGCTTAGATAACTAAATATTTTCAGTTAAAACACTAGGAACAGGCTGAAGTCCATCATGGTCCTAGACCTGCCTGTCGCTGTGACATTTTAGTACGAGTTCTGGCACATGCCCTTCCAGAAGTCTGCCTGCCTGCTGGACAGATGCATACACATTTGTGCAAGTTTAGAACATTTTTGTGGGGTGTATGTATGTGTGTGTGTGTGGTGGGGCCGGGGGTCAACATTAAGTATGTTCCTCAGTCACTCTCCAGGTTGTTTAAAGTTTTTTTTTTCCTTTCCTTATTTAGATGTGTATGTATGCATATGAGTGCAGGTGCCTGCAGATGCCCCAGGAGCTAGTGTCGTCAGTGATTGCCAGCCTCCTGATGTGGATACGGAGGATTGAACTCGGGTCCTCTGGAGGAGCAGTATATGATGTTCTTGAGAGCTGAGCCATCTCTCCAACCCCCTCCACCTTATCTTTTGAGACAGTCTCACTATGTAACTGTTCAAATGCTGTCCCAGTAGGATCTTTCCCTGAACCTGGAGCTTACCCATTCAGCTAGGTCAGCTGGCCTGCAAGCTCCTTCTGCCTCTACCTCCCCAGCACTGGGATTACAGGCGTACAGGACAAGACCCAGCTTTTCGGATGACTTCTTGGAGAACTGAACTCATGGTTGCACAGCCAGCAATATCCTGACTGAGCCATCTCTCCAGCCCCAGTCTCCCCCCTCCCCAATATTTATTTATCTTTATTTTCAGTGTATGGGTGTTATGTCTACATGCACGTCTGTGCATCACATGTGTGCCTGGTGCCCACGGAGGCTAGAAGAGGGCACTGATCCTCTGGAACTGTATACAGACACTTGTGAGCCACTTTGAAGATCCTGGGAATTGAACTATGGTCCTCTGGAAGAGCAGTCAATGCTATCTCTCCAGCCATCTCTCCAGCCCGCCACCCCTCTTTAAAACACTTTTCAGAATGATGTCTTTGGCACTGACCCCTGCCTCCACCAGCAGGTGAACTCCCCTCCAGGACTCTCAGACCGGTGTCTGCTCCATGGCCTTTTCCCGGAGGCCTTCCCCCATCTGTTGTTCCCTTTCCTTTTATTTTCTTCATTTCTTTCTATGGTTCTCTTGGGTCCTCACTGATGTCCTCCTTGCCTACTGGGATGGAAATCGTGGCGGGTCTTCTCTGCTCGTCACCCGGAGCCAAACACCAAGAGCAGTGCCTAGCGCCTTAGTAGGTGTTCTTCAGACCGCTGTTGAGCAAATCCATCCCTCTTTTTTATGACTGCCTGATGTTCCAGGGTATGAATGTAACGATGTATCAGACATTCTCCTCTTAGTGGACCCTGGGGAGCCCATTGTCCTCATGTGCAATGTGTGATCCCCACATCCCCTGTTGTGTTCTGTCAGCTGGACACCTAAAAACATAAGAGCCTGGTGACACATAGCCTCCTAAGTAGTTTCTCCTTATTGGTGACCTCTCCAGAGGAGATGATCCAAATGCTACCCAGACAGAGCTTAGGGACTCTTCTTCCAAACTCCAGCCCGCTTTTGGACCATGATCATGGTTGAGAACAGCAGAAAGCTATGAGCCCTTGCCCCTAGTCAGGCAGCTCACAATCACCTGTAATTCCAGCTCCAGGGAATCTGATGTCCTTTTCCAGCCTCTTGGGCACCTGCACTCAAGTGCACATACATACAAGCATACATAAAATTAAAAATAAAACACAGTATTTAAAAAGGAAAATACAGGGCTGGAAAGATGGCTCAGAGGTTAAGAGCACTGACTGCTCTTCCAGAGGTCCTAAGTTCAATTCCCAGCAACCACATGGTGGCTCAAAACCATCTGTAATGAGATCTGGTGCCCTCTTCTGGTGTGCAGGCATACATGCAGGCAGAATGCTGTATACATAATAAATAAATAACTATTTAAAAAATAAAAATAAATAAAAAGGAAAATACATACACTTTGGGCACTTGCTGGGCCTCCCTAAGCTTGACAAGACAGTTTGCAGGGGCTTTGTGCCCAGCACTAAGAGCCTGTCTCAGAGAGAGGCACCTGCCTGCGCAGAGGTGAGGAGAGGGACTGAATGAACTCTGGTGGCCAACTGCTAGGTGAGGATGCTCAGTCCCGGCCAGCCTGCAGTTAGAATAGCCTCCCTGGGTGGTCCCTGCACCACTGCCCTGGACCCCAGAGCACCAGGCTTCGAATGGGTCCTAGTCTGGGTCAGAGGGGAACTTGGAGAGGCAATGACTGCCCTGACCTGGAAGGGACCTGGGAGACCTCCAAACTTCGTGGTGGGTATAGCCACCACACCTGTTTCCAGGTTCGCCCTTCTGTAAAGGATGCAGCCAAAATTTCCAGCCCTACAGGCAGCCCTAGAGGTGGGCAGGACAGACATGATTTTCCTAGTTGCACAGATCGGAAACGGAGTCCCAAAACAAGCAGCCACCTGCCTGGGTGCTCCAGCTGGCTCCGCCCTACACGGGGGCCCAAGAAGGCTCTTGCCCTTGGGGCCCCATCCCGAGCCTGACCCCCGGCTTTGCCTGGGAGATGACCTCAGCTGCCGCCAATCCATTGGTTCCAGCTCCGGGGGGAGGGAAGAAGAACAAAGCACGCTTTGTGGCCGGCTGTCCCCTCCCCGGCGCGGCCGCCTCCGGGACCCCCTCCGGAACTCCCGGCGACGCCCCCCGGCCGACAGCCGTGTAATGTCTTCCAGGCGCAGACTGCACACAGCCGCGGGGCCGCCTGCGGGCCGCCTGCCTGGCCCCTGCCGTCTCTGCGCTGAAGGCTGGAGCTGGATGCCAGGCAGGTGTAGCCACCTGACAACTGAATGCACCACCTTGGGGTTACCGGTTTGGGGTGAGAAACACTCAAATTGTTCATGGTGTCGCTGTGGCCGCTGTTTTGCTTGGTGGCTAGCCCTGGGTTCCGAGGTCTGGGCCACTGACTAGCTACCAGCTCTTGTGAGCGTCATCCGGTTGAGAACAGTAAGAACCACTGACTGGGTGCCTGCTATGTGTCAGTGGTAGTGTGGGGTTCTAAGGCTGTCTTCTGCCTTTAAGTGTCAGGGTCACCTTGGCAGAGGTAATTTCACCGCTCATTTAACAAAGGAGAAAACCCACCCTCCAGGTGCTCTGGACATAAACGAACCTCTCCAAGTCTCAGTTTCCTGTCTATAAAGGAAGGCCATGTACAATGATATTCCCCTCTTCCCCCACGGTGCTTCTATATAGTCCATGCTGGCCCTCTTGCTTGAGCTGTCTCAGCCTCCTCAGTGCTGGGACTACAGGCAAGGACTACCATACCTGGTTCCTCTTGGGTTTTTAGAACTGTATGTCTTACCTATCTTAGCCCTGCTCAGATGAGCACCCTGCTAGAGGCAGATGCCTGGCCTGAATGGGTCTATCCAGAAACCCCAATACTTTTAGGACTTTTTAGAGGGGGCTTCAGCAGCCCTCAGGCTTATAGAAAATAAAGAGATTCTGTCCTAACCCAAAGACGTCTCCCTGAAATAGCAAGTGTACATACAGCTTTTTTATGCTCTAAGCTGTGGAAGGACATGGCCTGCCTGAGGCCTCTGAGAGGAATGGGAAGCGTGGCCAAGGCTTAAGCTGAGGAAGCACTGTGATCACCACTCAGGTGATGCCTGGCCCTTTGTGCCAGCCAGGGTCTTGCCTGTGGCTGGGACTAGATCAAAGGAATATCATGGCATAAGTCTCAGTCAGCAGCTAGCGCCCTAAGAGACTCAACCAAACACAGGACACACAG